TTGACCATAAAGTATTGAACTCTTAACCTTTTCATCAATGGTTGCTCTCTTTTGAATCTGTCTATTCTTTTCCTTTACTCCATCTATGGATAGACCAATACCGAACTTACTCTAATTTCCCACTGAAAGCTTAAAGAAGATACTGCATAAGTGAGATTCATTCCAGTTGTATCTCGTTACTTTTGAGGAATGTCTTCTTTCTTTTCTTCTCTCTTTTTAGAAGCTCAATAATACTGTTTCTTTTAAGATAAAAGCGTTTAGTTTATTTGAATTTTTGGATTTAAACACGGCCACGATTATGGACAATGAAGACACATTAATTTATTACATTCTACTTGATCTTGATAATATTTATTAGGAGTATTAATTAAATAATTATAAGTATACAATTATATTAAGCATAACTCGGCGTACAAAACATTTTGCATTCACGTCCAGGTTCGAAAAAAGAACGTACCCCAAGGGACGGGATGTAGATAAGTTACCTTAATGCAAACACTAGTGACTATTTTCACCACGAATCCATGACCTATAGGTCATACAACGACAATTATATCACTGCTCTCCTTCCAAGTATACATTTAAATTATATTTTTTTATTTTATTATGCAATAAATGATATAATTCATATCCACTAATTTAACTACGCATCTGGATTTAAAATCACAACATTATGTGCGGTTGCTTAGCTAATTTGCATTTCCATGCATGCAATGCATGGGTTGTTGGATAAGTGCATGTAAAGGTCCGCGTGGCACGTGAATTAATGGGTAATGATCAAGACTTTTTTGGGTTAGTGTTAAGCAGCAAAGCAGATGAGATATGACTATAATTAGAGGCAATATTTGGAAAATTGGTCGCAGAGTTAGGAAGGGACCCACAAAATCCAATGTGCCACGTAAATCATCATTCATCATCATATATATGAGGGGAAGCGTGAGTGTAAATGGGGCATTCGTGTGGGTTTGGTTTCCATGATTAAGCAAATCCCAGAGTTTCATTAAAAACAGTATAAACCACAGATCGCGCATTTATTGCCAGAATATTTATTGGCATTTGAGATTACTGCTTCTTTATTCCCACCCCCTCTATCTTATACAGCCTGCCATCTGTCATGAGTAATCAATATTCCTTTTTATTTTGGACGAGAGTGGTTTGACTCGGCACGAAATTTAAGAAAAAAAAGAAAATTTTTAAATTTTTAGTTTAAGTTTGAGGGGTACAAATTTTATGGATTCATGATATTTGTAGGGGTATAAAAACTTCTCATTAAGGATAAAATGATTAAAATAAAGAGTTTAAAATTGAATTAGTTCCAAATTTAAAAATATATCATTTAGTTTGATACAGACTAAATAGGAAAGTACATCATCTAATTTAATTTGTAACGGAAGGAGTATAACTAGCTCATTATATTTTCTTTTTATTTTGGATTTAAATCCTTTCTTCCTTTTTCTTTTATTTTTTGTGTCTTGCTAGTTAGAGTTTTTAAGCCTAAAATGGTCCATTGACCCCCATTTTTTCCTCATACAAAACATACAATGAAGTAGGGAATTGCAACCTAATTTGAGCAGTCTTTATAATTTTATTATGCGATCAATTGGTTAACTGAATTTCATGCACTTTTAATACGAGTGAGAATTGTCGAAATTAATTTAACAATTAAAGTTATTAAAGTTCGACCGTGAAGTAGACTTTATCAACACAGAGTGTATGTATTAAATGCATAATCGAAAGATCACTTCAATTAACCAGAAAAAAAAAAGTTCAAAATTAGAGTATGAGATATTGGGGTTTGTGGGAACCAATAACTTCTGTCTATATATTAAAAATTCATTAAATATCTATAAGTATTTTATCACGAATTCAATTATTTTTTTATATTAATTTAAGATGTTATAAATTTAAAATTCTGAATCCGCATTAATTCTAACCAAAGACATCTTTCCACAAGTTAAATGAATGTAATGAGTAACTAGTCTTATAGAGAGCCAACGGAAGTGTGCATATCGGTGTATTGTATAAAATGCAATGAGACGTCTGCAGTGTAGAGAGGGTAATGAGAATTGTGTAAATCGAAAAAAAACTAGTGGGGTGGGGGAGAGGGGGTAGGGGGTTTGATGGAGCATCTTTTGGAAAGTGAAGTGCAAGGAGGGTCTGGTCTGGTCTCTGGTCTTCCCGTTTGTCGAACTAAGGGCGACACCAATCTCAAGATGATCTGATTCTCTCTCTCTTTGCTCTTTGGACTTTGAATCTTTTAAATCCAAATCTATTGATATTCCAGAGGAGTTTTGTTCTGTTTCGGCTTTGGACCCCATCATTTTTCAATTTTCATCATGAGTATGACACTCGTGGTGGCCCCTCTCTTTTTTTATTTCTTTGTGTTCCTAAATCACCAATATAGCTTAGCTCCATTTCCCTTTTCTTTTAAAGAGAATATTTAATTCAGAGGTTACTTTTTTTTTTTTTAACCTATACTAAGTTTGCATCTTTGAGTCAAAGATTGCTCTCTATGCCCTGAAGAACATTTGTTGCTTTGATGATTGCAAAGTATCTCATTTTCATGATTCCTATTCCTTCCCCCATCCCCTTTTTCTCTTTCTAGCTTTTTGTCTCCTATCCACAAAATCAATACATTTCCTCCTATACTCTACTAGTATGCTTTTTCATTTTAATTTATTTTCCTCACGTTGTGCGTTTAAATTTCTATTTTTGTTTTTTCACGTTTTATTATACATTAATCTTTTAAATCAAGGTTTGTGTAACATTAAATCAATATTGGAAATTGGATTTAGAGAAGAATAAGTGAAGGGAAGTTGATAGATAATCATGATGACAAGAAGGACCGGATTACCTAAAACATGCATAGGACTCAATCAGTTCACGTGAATCCAGGGTACGGCCACTGCTTACTGATCAATGCCTGAAACTACTTGTTTTGTATTGTGCACCTTAGGTGAAGAAAGGGATGGTGTATATCAGTATTTAGCAACTTCCTGTCCTGTATCAGTCACTTTCAATTCATTAATCTAAATTGGTCGATGGGATGGATTGGACTGCCTAAAGCAACTAAAGAGTGGTCTTTGTTTTGTTGAATGATACATTGGAACGAATTTTACTACGCAGTATAAACACCATTACCCTACCCCAACCTAAACTCAAGTAGCCAGTCTGATGACTTGCAAATGATACACGTTTGAAACTCTTCCAATAAATATTCCCAACGATTCAGTTTCAAGATTTGGATTGACAAGCATTGGTCTAATAACATCAAGTTAATATTCTCTAGATGCAAAGGCAAACTAATAAGCTAGGTGCATAGGCGAATGGAGTCCATATTCAATGGGTTTAATTGAATTAATATTTTTATTATAGAATATAAATGTATGTTTAAATTTTTTTTAACTTTCAACAAATATCAAAATTTATCCCATACTTTTAAACAACATAATCAGTGTAATCACACAAGTAGAGTATGAAAAATTCCATAATTTTAAAGTACAATAAATTTAATATTAAAACTTTTAAAAACTAAAAATTTCAAGCTTAAATTTTGAATTCGCCTTTAATTAGTGGAGGATCTAGTCGACACTCATTGGATAGATATACTAGGTTTGAAGAGTTAAGAGTCAGGCTTTATTTCTTCGGGCGAGGATCATAATCAAAGATATGATCAGTGCACCTAATCAATTCTCAAATGTTTTCTACAACGCAGAACTAATGTCAAGAATTTCAGATTGGACTGTGCATCTTTTCGCTTGAAAGTTAAAACAGTTAGTCCCTCCGTTTCATATTAAATAAGGTACTTTTTTTTTTAGTGTGTTCCAAAATAAATGACACATTTCTAAATTTGGAAATAATTCTACTTTAAACTCTTCAGTTTACCTTTTTTGCCCTTAATGAGAAGTTTTTATAGTCACACAAATGGCATGGCCCCACAAACCTTTTACCCCTTAAGCTTTTAAGACCACAACTTTCAAAATTCTTCTTTTTTTGTTAAATTCCGTGCCGAATCAAACTACCTAAAACAATATGAAACGGAGGGAGTATTCATCTAATTATGCAAGGTAATTAATTAAGAGGAGTACAAGTTTAGTATGACTATTTAAAACATAAAAAAAGAGGTGGATTACAATAGCAATAATATTTCCACTTTCCTTGGGAGGTAGGAGGGGTGGCAGCGACAGTGCAAAAGGTGGTGGGGGGATACGGACAGAAGTTATTTTGATGTAAATATTGGGTTTGAGTTGAGACTTGAGACTGGTCGCCTCGTGATCGGAGAAGGCAGATCCATGGAAGACTGTTCCCCCTTGTCACGTGGGTTCTCTTTTGACTACCCTTATGACTATTTTCTTAATTTCTTGTATTTCTACTATACGTATATATAGGGAGTATAAAAATAATCAAATTTGCAAAAAGTTCTACTACTAACACAGAACTAACAGTATAACTCAGGTATTACTATATATAGAGACCACTTGGCACTTGCTTATGAAACCATATAATTGCATATCTTAGCTGCTTGTAGTGGCACTTCAACTCTCTCTCCGGTCCCTTTTTCTTTGTTTCTACAGTGTACCACACTTTGCTCTTCTCTCTGTTTCTGTTTCTGGCTAATTACTAGCACACTAAATAACACACATGAATCTGGTCCCTACCCCCCTCTGCATTTTTACCTGCAAACAAAGAATCCAAAAAAACGTTGTAGCAGACGTTTGACGACCAACGTGGACTCTCTGCACCTGCTGACTAGTATTTCGCCATTTTATTAGCTTATAAAGAGCTAACAGACAATACTACAAAACCCAAAGCTCTCTCCCCTAAGTTCTTCCTCCCATTCAAACCTTCTATTATTATTACATATCCCTTTCAACTTACTATTCCCTCTCCTACCTATCGCTTTCTCCCCTCCCTTTCATCTCATACTAATTGTTCTATAAACACTGCGTTGCCTCTTCCTTTACATCTCAAAGGTGAGGAAGTAGAAACTGAGAGCAAAAATGATGCATCGTTGCAGTAGCAGTTGTCATGGAAGTATGGTGGGTCCGTGTTCATGTGGTCTGTTTCACAGTCAAAGCAATGTCACTACTACTACTTCTTCTGCCTTCTCAATGCTCTTCTCCCATAACCCTAGTGCTTTTGATCATGAATATTCGGAAAACATGTACTCTTTTGCTCCTTCTTCTTCATCTGTTGATTGCACTCTCTCCTTAGGGACGCCTTCCACTCGCCTTACTAATGACATTAGTGAAAAGAGGGTAGTTCAGTCTCATGAACGTCGCTCTTCCTACATGTCCAACTTTTGCTGGGATATTCTTCAGCCAAAACAACATACTCCGTCGCCGCCTTCTTCCGCTCACAAATCCACTCGCGGCGGTAGCAATGGTAGTAACACCAACTCTACTGACCCCCTTGTTGCTCGCCGCTGCGCTAACTGTGATACTACTTCTACTCCGCTTTGGAGAAACGGTCCTAGAGGCCCTAAGGTATATGTTCTTAGCAACTCTTTTATGTCAATTAAAAATAATTATATTGTTCATAAATAGCTAAATTAATAACCTATAACTTTTTAAGATAGTATATAACTTAAGAGTATAAGTTAAATCCATTTCTCTTTGTCATTGATACTCTTTTCGAAGATATTTTTGCAATTTTCTATCAAAATAAGTTTCAACTTATAAAAATAATTAAGTACTAGTACGTACCAATTACTATTTGCAACAAATTTGATAATGTAACTTGGAAAGTGCGATAATAACTTACTACTATAATCAATCACTAAATCATATGTACTAAAATTATAATGACAGTGTAAAACTTTTTTCTCCATGCTAAATCTAAGAGTTATTACCTTTTAACCTATGAAACTAATGGTTATAAGGGATTTCTACGCAGTCACTATGCAATGCCTGTGGAATTCGATTCAAGAAGGAAGAGAGAAGAGCAAGTGCGGCAGCAGCCACCGCTAACGGTGGAAGAGGAGGAGGAGGAGGAATGGACACACAACACATGATAAACAGTACTGCTTCATGGGTTCACCATTCACAACCCCCCAAAATGCCTTGTTTCTCTTCAGCTGCCTATGGAAATGAACTCAGGTTTATAGAAGATGATGACCGTGATTCTGATGCCACCGCCATTCCTTTCCTTCCTTGGCGTCTCAATGTTGCTGATAGGCCTAGTCTTGTTCATGACTTCACTAGATAAGGATTAAAATTAGGATGAATGTTTCAAGCAGCGTTTAAATTTCACGAAAAGAAGAAAAAAAGAAAAATGGAAGCCCCCCATTACGTGTCATGATGATGGTGATGGTGGCGATATGATGGCTACGGTTCAAGAAATTCTTTTGCTTTCAGCTGTTATCTTTTTGGTCCATCTTTCACAGAGATGGAGTGAAAATGAGTTAATTCTATGTTTTTGTTTGTTGGCATTTCTTCCTTTTGGTAGTAGTTATCGTTATTCTAGTATCTTTAACTTTTCACTTTGATGATGATCAGTCAATATATATATACTAAGCAGTGGCACCACTTTTTTCTGTTAGTCCTCGTCATACATATGTAGTATTACTTTCTTGAATATGATGATCGACCAGCAGTTTTCTCTTTATCAACTGAAAGTTTTCTGCTGTTTGAGCTGCCGGCAAATTCTGAAACAGTACAGTAACTCTTTTTTAGCTTTCTACGTAATAACTGGAATTGTTGCTACGACAGTGCTGCATTAATGAATTATTAGCTCCCATCATTTCATTCTGGGCCACAACTAAAATGTTATTGATTAATCAGTGTTTGTTATACATAGATTGAGATGTTTACTTCTGTAATGTATATGCTACAGCTTTTTTCTTTTCGTTTGGAGTGCAACACAGCATGGTCCTGAAGAACATGCATGGAAATGAAATTGCTGTTTTCAGATGTAACGGAAAATTAACTCAAGGCGCTGTAAGCATAGATGTGATATTTGCATTTTGGCTCTTCTGGGAGCCTGGAATAAAGTTATACAATAAAAGCCTTTTAATTTGTTACTACAATTTACTGTTGCGCCTTCAAGATTTAGCCGGCTTAAAAAATAGTTTTACCATGGTAAAGATATTCGAATAACTAAGCTGTTAGTGGTTAGTACTGTAGTTAGCAGTTAGTGTTAGTTTGTTAATAGGAGTTAGTTATAACTAACGCATGAGGAGGTTAAGTTAGCAGGTGTATATATACACATGTAAGATCATTTTCATAGTATAATGAAATCATTTTCAGTCTAACACATATGCAGAAAATTCTCTCTCTAGAACCTTCTCCTTTCTCCTTTCAATCATTTTCTCCATTGTTGCTCAGTGATTCAAGCTCGAGCACAGTGAAACTCACAAAAAATCACTTTTCCACCCTTTTTTTCCCGATAAAATGGCCAAATTTGCAGTTACATTACTCATTGCTGCATTGGTAATGTTCACTTTGATCTCTGGTTCTGCGGCTCCTACTGTTAATTACTGGAAAAACAACTCTGATCATGTGTTCATAAAAGTTCTTATTGTGGTCGGGTTTGTAATTGCTTTTGGGCTTCCTATTCTCTTCATTGTCATAGCTTTGATTCGCTTATGGAATATCTCTCCTGGTGATCCGGGGATTGCTAAGGTGGCTGGGGTTGATACAGAACTTGAAATGGAGTAGGTTTGAGATTACTTTCTCCAGAAGAAATGTTGCTATTCAATCTGTAGTGTCTACTATAAGTGTCTAATGGATGTGTTCTTCTCTCTTTTAATGGTGCTGATTATCTGCTTTATTTGAGTTATTAATTAAGTCGTGGACGAATATGGAAATGACCTGTGCAAATCGTCAATAATGGGAATGCACATTAGGTGTTTGATATGTGGCAATGTTTGATATCACTTTCTTTTTCTGTGTTTTGGACACTGTATTTGAGTATTTAAGTTGGTATGCATGAGGATATATTTATGCGGCGAGGAGGTATAGATGGATTAGTTGAGCTTTGAGTTATTAATTACTGCAAAGGATTCAAAATGCCCCTAAACTATTAGAAAAGGTTTAAAAATATTCTTCATCCGACTAACAATATCCCTTCATCCACCTTTTTGGTTCACATATGCCCTTTGACCGTTAGGTCAATGCTGAATTAAAAATAATTATTATTCTTTTGTAAAACTTAAAAAAAATAAATTTACAACATATTTTCCTTTTTTTAAACTAATGCACCAGTAGTCCACTAATTTAAAAAAGTCTTCTTCTTTCTTTTTTTCAGTTTTTACAAAAAAAAAAATTCATTTTTTAATTTTTTTAAAGCATTTTGTTGTAAAAACTGAAAAAAAATTGTAAAAACAGAAAAAAAAATATTTTTAATAAAATATTTTTGTTTTTTAAAAACTGAAAAAAAATTCAACAAAACATTTTCGTTTTTGAAAAATATGTTTTTTCATTTTTTTTCAGTTTTTTAAAGAAAACGAAAATATTTTTTCTTTAAAAAAAAACTGTAAAACGAAATAAAACGAAAAGCTTTACAAAAAATGAAAAAAAAACATTTTTCAAAAACGAAAATATTTCGTTGAAGATATTTTTTTCAGTTTTTAAAAAATGAAAATATTTTATTAAAAACATTTTTTTTTTCTGTTTTTACAATTTTTTTCCAGTTTTTACAAAAAAAAATGCTTTAAAAAAACTGAAAAAAATATTTTTTTTTTTGTAAAAACTGAATTGTTTTTTGTAATAATTGAAAAAAAATAAGAAGACTTTACTAAATTAGTGGACTATTGGTGCATTAGTTTAAAAAAACGAAAATATTTTGCAATTTTTTTTTTAAATTTTTACAAAAAGAATAATAATTATTTTTAATTTAGCATTGACCTAACGGTCAAAGGGCATAAGTGAACCAAAAAAGTGGATGGAAGGATATTTTTAGCCTAATAGGTGGATGAAGGGTATTTTTAAACCTTTTCCAATAATTGAAGCAATTCGAGGTAGTATTTAAGCAGTTGTGCATGAGAATATACTTATGCTGAATACATGCACTTATGAGTTAATTGAGCAATTTGAGTGATGAGTATTAATTTGAAACAATTTTGGGTAGTAGAATTTAAGTTATTATGCATGAGAATATATTTATGCTAAAAAGGGGCCCACGAGGAGGTATGAGTTAATTGAGCTTTGAGTTATTAAGTTGAGCTTGATGGTGCTTGATACAGCAATTGCATGGTAGTATTGCTGGTTTATCGGGCGCCACTGTTCCTGCTCGTCTTTGGGCTACGGCTCGGACATTGAGAATTGTACTTCTATATTCCTCCTCCTATATGTAGTAATCTCTCGACCTCTGCCTCATGGAGCCACGAAAATAGAGAATTGACAAATGAAATAGGATATTTTTCAGACCTATCTTCTTCTTCTCTTGTACTTCTCTTTTTAAAATTTTTTATTGAATCCATCCACCAAAACTTTTAACTCTTGTGGTGGTAGGAGGTTTGGCATTGACCCTAAAAAAAAAAAAAGAGACTACCTATAAAGATGATGGCAAAAGCCTAACGATTTATATACTTCCAGTCAGGGGTGTTAAACAAACAATGCATGAATCAGAGGGATAACAGAACATGCCTGAAATGCCAAAAGTGAGTTCCGTGGGTTCAAAGCACCAGCTTTATGTTTGTCATTTCTTGAACTTGAACTTTACGTAGTCATATATCATATGTAATTATGTATGTGTGTATATGTAAGCCTAAAAAATAAATTAATAAATAGCAACGTACGGAAAAAAGGTTTACAATATAAGTATCGACAAACTTTTATTTTCAAAAATCCATACCATCATATGGTATATATTCCTTTTCCAATACGGAATAGACCTCATATTTATCTATATCTATATCTATCTATATTATTATAAAAGTGGGAAGCTCAAAAGCTAAAAGTTGAATTACTAAATTACCCTTCTAAATAACCTAAATAATTTATTTTTAAAATTAAGAAAAAAACTAACGCGACAAACAGCCCCAAATCAGTGCTTCATACCCCTTTATTAATGGTCACAACCATGCAAATTACAAAGCTAAAAGTAACAAATCATCATTTCCCAAATCTAAGCAATAAATTGTTACTTCCCAAAGCTAAAGGAAACAAATCGTGACTTTTCATTCTTGTAATACCTTTCTATAAAATATTCATAAATTATTTTGATACACCAACATATAGGCCAAAAAACGTAACCCATTTATTTTGATAACGCCAACATACCAACAACAACAATGCACGAACCTTATGTTTCAAATCTGTATCTTATATTATAGCCCGGTGCGACGGGTTGCCTTTTAAATTAAGTAGATAGACTGGTAAGTATGGAAGAAATGAAACTTTTTTTTTAATTCCTCCTTATCATGGCTTTTTTGTTTTACCTCTGATTCATGTTGTTTATGTTATTGTTTATTGATTTGTTGGGTAGTTTTAACGTTGTATCTTACTGACAAAGATACAAGGATTCAATATTATTTTCCATGTCAATATATTTGTATTATTTTTTATCATTGACTATTTTTGATGTGTGAACAAATAATTGAATTTTTATTACTTAGTACCCGGTGAAGTATGATTCTGATTTCTTCTTTCCTTGCATATGTTGGTTCAGTTTAGAGTCCATAGATTACTACTATAATAAGTTTTTGATTTAGTTTCTTTCCTTTTGGTCTATTTTGGAGATTATTAAAGAGAAATGAGTTTGATTTCTGTGTGATTTTTTCCATGCATTTGTTCATGTGAAAGAAGGAGAGGTCAACATTATCATTTGGTACAAAATATGTTTAGGAATGGAAATTAAATAAAAAAAAGATTAATAAAAAAGTTATAAATTTTAAAAATATATATGTCTAGCTTTCATTATTTTCAAGAGCGACGATAAAATCAAGCACCCGGATAGTATGTAGTATATTTGTAATTGTTTTATCATAGTAGAGTTTTAGTTATTATAAAGTTGAAGAACGTATCTATAGTTGGACCCAAACCTAGGAATAGAGTATATGATAATCCTTATTTAAGAAAATTATAAAAAAATAATAAGATATACGATTAAAAAGTAAATTGATTATCAAGCTACCATATTATATTTTTATAGATCAAAAAAAATAGAAGATTTTGCTTTTTGCTCGCTTGAAGAAAAAAAAAACTACTTCTCTCAAATAGCTGATTATTTGTGTATTTAAGAATAAATAATAAATAAATTTTCAAAAAAAAATCAAAAAACTTTTAAATCATAAAACGGTTATGTCTTATTACTGAAACTAAAACTAAAAAAAATAATCATAAAACTGTTCTTTTTATCGGCCGAAGGTCTATCGGAAATAGCCTCTCTACCCTTCCAGGGTAGGGGTAAGGCTGCGTACATCACATCCTCCCCATACTCCACTTATGAGATATCACTGGGTTTGTTGTTGTGTAATTTGTAAAATTGAGTAATAAAATTGTAAAACTCGAACAAAATTTAAGTTTTGATTATATTGACTAGAATGATTGATGACTTCTAAGGTAAGGTTTCTTCCTTCATTTAGTTGGCCGAATAGA